TGAGGGAGCTGGGGGTGTTTAGTCTGGGGAAGAGGAGGCTGAGGGGAGACCTGATCGCTCTCTGCAACGACCTGAAAGGAGGTTGTAGTGAGGTGAGGGCCAGTCTCTCCCAGGCAACTAGTGACAGGACAAGAGGGCATAGTCTCAAGCTGCACCAAGGGAGGTTCAGGTTAGACATTAGGAGTCATTTCTTCGCAGAAAGGGTCGTTAGGCATTAGAATGGGCTGCCCAGGGAGGTGGTGGAGTCTGCTTCTCTGGAGATACTCAAAACCCACCCGGACACGATCCTGTGCAACTTACTGTAGGTGACCCTGCTCTGGCCAGGGGGGTTGGACTCGATGATCTCCAGAGGTCCCTTGACACTCCGACCATTCTGTGATATAACTGAAAAGAAACCTCTGCATGAATGGGTGTTTCAGGTTTGGAGTGGTTTTTTGTAAATGTGTTTTAGACCTGCGTTTGACATCATCTGTCTTTACAAGTTGGGAATAATTATTCTTATCCCACTTCAAAATGTTACCTCTTGATGTCAGCTTCAGGTGCTTCTCTGTTTCTGCAGGGATTACCTGGGGTTGACCTTGGGGAGGAAGTGTGCAAGTATGTTCGTGGTTCCAGTTCTGTTAAGCAAACATAGAGGACTTTAATCTCTTTGTATTTTGCTTTCTTCTCTTCCTCTTGGCCAAGGTAGACTGTAGTTAATATCCCTCTTTATAGTGCGTTGGGTGTTATCATATGGGGGTTTTAGACGTTTTGCCTCATGTCATTAATATAAAACAGCTTAAATTCTACTTTTGTCCCATCCAAAACAAATAATTCTTTATTATAAAGGTATGCAGTAGGCTGACAGGTATTGGTTTTGAGTAGAGTTACAGCTGTAGGGTGGTCTTCTGGTGATGTTTGGAGCATATTATCTGGTGTGTAAGAGGATCAGGTATGTCTTGTTTTGGATGCATGAATTTCCAGAGCTACAGTTGTTACTGCCTTCTTTATATCTCGGTTTTTATCTAATTACACTTCTTTTTTTAAATTACACTCTGTCAAAAAATTACTTAAAATGTCTCACGACATACATTCTGCTTTTTTTCTTTTGTTGGGTTTGTTTTGGATTGTTTCCTCAGTTTAGCTGCTTAGCTGTGTTTGCCATTGAGACAATTTTATTGAACTTTGCGTTAGAATATGGAATGAGGTGGAAGAACAGACGTATCTGAAGTGCTACTTCTTTAATCTGACATAAAGGTGCAGATCTCTGCTTGTATTTTTTTTTTTTTTTGCAGTTTTGAAAATGGTGCATACTTGTGTTTCTGGGAGTATTTTTAAAAAGATCAAAAGATCATTAAGAATTGTCAGTTTTCTCTTTCGTCGCTACTGATGTTCTCCCTTGTCAAGTTATGAACTTCAGCGTCTGAAGCTCTCTGGAGAAATATTACCGAGTAGAAAAGTGAGCTGGCATTT